TTTTTCAATCTTCAGCTCTATCCTGTGTTAAAAAAATTACCCCTAAATTAAATTTTAATTATCATGTAAGAGTGCATAGCCTTAGCCCAAGAAATGATTGCTAAATCATGTCTTCTTTGTGTTAGTTCCACTGTTTTGCTTTACATTTCAATGTACAACTTTATGTACATTGTTTCTGGTTTTCTTTTGTGTTTCTGGTTTCCCACTTGTCCAGAGAAGTTGTTGAAGTACTAGGTCAAAAACTATATCTTAAAGCCATAGATAAATATATATTTTAAACAAACTGTTTAACAAGTTATACAAATTGTTCACCATCAGTAGAAATAAATAGTCCCCAACAAGATGTTTCCAAAACATCCCAGGGGCACTGCATTGAACTGACAATCACCTGCAGGCACCTGCACAAGCCTGGACCTCCCAACCCTCACACACTCCAAGCTCCTGGGATGCCCAGATAGATGGTAAACACTTGTATAGTTTCTGTTATTTTCTTGTCACTGTCACTGAGACACCATAGTTTGAGGAAGGAGAAGGTTTATTTTGGCTCTCTGTTTTAGAAACTTTAGTGCTTACATGGTCAGCGGAGTGGCAGAGGAGCCTGGTGGTGGCGCCTTGCTGAGGAGAGCTGTGAGCAGCTCGGGAGGCACAGAGCAAAAGGAGGAGCCAGCTAAGATTCACACCTCCCAGCAACTTCCCAGTGATTTGCAGGATTCTGACCAGGTGTCACCTCCTACCAGCATGACTAGAGATAAACTCATCACAGACTAATCCACCCGTGGGTTGAGAGCCTCCATGACCCAAAAATCTACCTAGGAGTTGTGAGGCTTGGTGAGAGGATAGGAATCACACTCCCACCCTCCTGAATGCTTCTGTTTGGGTTACTTACACCACCTGATGCCATGAAAATACCATGCAAGGAGTGGTTACCTGGTGTCATTTAGGGGCAGTAAGAACAATGCCTGTGCGTACTCAGCGCAGATACAGCTGTCCCCAAATCTTTCCGATCCACTGTTAGTCAGATCAGAGGACAGGGACAGGAGATAGATACACAGGTGCCCACAGAGGAGTCTGCTCAGCAGGAAGCAGGAAGCAGGAAGACAGTCACTCCTGCCTTGGGGGATGAGCTGCTCTGCCTGCAAATAAAGCAATGATGTGTAAGCTTTTGTCTTGCACAATTTCTCTTTTCTTCTAAGTGTTGGTGCTCCGGACAAGGTGCTGTCAGACCTTTGTAGAATCTGGGAGCCACCAAAACAAAAAAAAAAACAAAAACGGAGGAAAAACTCCTTTTATTTTGGTATGTTTTTTTGCTCACATGTATTTGTTAATTTCCATTTTAATCATTTTTAATTCATTCCCCTTTTACACTTGTGTTTTTCATTGGCCTGGTGACTTCAATGCTGCCCTAAGCTGAGTTTACCTGGGTGAGAAACTCTCATCTCCCTTTGCCCTACATCTTGAATTCTGTGGCTTTTAAAAAAAAAAATCTTGTTACATATGCGTGGGATTTTTCCAGACCCATTGGAGCATCAGCTTGCCACGTGAGTCACTCTACTGCAGACACTTGTCAGACATCCTCGAGAAGTAAAAACCTGAAGCCTGGAGGGATTTATGTTGTTCCCCAGTGCGGTGTAACTTTCCCTAAGCGCAGTGAACTGAACCGTACTTGGAGGACTTGGAGTGGGACAGCTGGGGCGCCTGCTGTCCATGGTCAGCTACCTTGTCCTCCTGCAAGGACCACAGTGTATCTGCTGACTCAGCACCTCCCTCAAACCTGCCCTCCAGGGCCTCTCCCCGGGGTACTGAGCTGCCTCAGAGGGAGAGAGCCCAGCATGAGCCCAGGGGGTCTGTCACTCCCCCTGCCCACCTGCCAGCCATGGGGAGCAATGCCCTGGAGACAGAGTCCTGGAGAGTGGCAGAGCTGGGCTCCTTCAGCCAAGGATTTCTCAGGAGGCCTCGTAACCAGTTTTGTTTTGTTTTGTGGGATACAATACATCTCCCCAAATTACTCTGATTGTGTTAGTTTTGTAGTACCAAAAGCAATAAGACCTGGTAATACCTTTAAATATTTATGAGCTAGGCACATTTCTATTGATGAATGATTTAACTGGAATGTTCCTCTCTTAGAATAACTCCTATGCAGATTCCCAGAATTCATCTCCTACTTAGAAGAATTCTTGTGCCCGAACAGGAATTGTATTTGGGAACAGTGGAAGGATTTGCTCACTCTCTTCATGGTTATGCGCTGTCCTGTTTATACCCAAAGTCTGCAGAAACTGCACCATGCGGGCTCTGTGCCACTGGCCACAGCCTCAGGGACCTGGTGGCCTGTAACGAGAATGTCACACCTTGGGCCCTCAGCACTCACTGCATTTCTGTGCCCCCCGCTCTCAGTGCTGGGGGCCAAACATGGGCCTCTCCTGTTTGAGGCCAGCCTCCCACTTGGGAGCCATACACAGCCCCAGCTGCTTCCGAAGGGCTCAGTCCAGTCCTTCCCGAGGGTCATTGTCACTTCCCTGTTGATGGCATCTGGAGAACAGAGCGTGAGCAGTCAGATGGGACAGTACCCTGGTGTTCAGTGTTGGGGAAAGATTACCGTGCTCTCATCTCTCCCTGAAGCCTAACCCTCAGCTGCTGCAGGGCAGCCTTGCGGGCCTCTGCTGAGTACCTTCCCAACTACAGGCAAGTGAGTCGCCTTGACTGTGATCCCTTTCCTGGGCATGCATCCTTCTGAGCCCAGGACTGCATGGCTAGGAGGCCCAGAACTGTCCTTTTAGTTTAACTAGAAGAAAATGGAAGTTCAGAAGCTTTACCCCTGTGCCTGGAAGTCCAGACCCTGCTGAAGAAGGGATGGTAGGTTCTTCCCATCACCTGCTCTGTCTGCAGACAAATCCCTGTCTGATGGAAACTTTGTTCCCACACAGCCAAACCCAGGAAGACAAGAGTCAGAGACTACAGCTGTGTGAGAGGCTTCTGTAGCTATTCCTTGTGACAGAAACCTTTGTCAGAAGCAAACAGGGAAGGGAAAGATGTGTGCACCCCTCTGTGACCTTCTGCACTTGGGGATTCCTGGCCCAACTAGGAGACCACAGCGTCACCTTGAAGGCACACCAGTTGCAGATCACAAACTCTTGTTTGTCCAATCACTGATCAGACTTGGCCCAAGCCCGGCTTGTCAGATGCAACACCCCAAAAAAGGACCTGGGCATTTTGGAGGCTTTTGTTTATATGGCGCTTAACCCCAAGTGACCTTAAATTCTAAATAAAGTTCCAGAGATGATTTGTACAAGAGGCTTGTTTTTAAAGGAAATAAATTATATGACAGGTCTATTACATATAACACTACTACTACTACGAATTAGGCTGGCGAACCTTTTATTCAACATTTAAAATCTTTAATTAAGACCTCACTGTATATAAAGTTTACATAAGCAAATCTAGCAGAAATCTAAACACATTCTTGAGAGTCAGGCCGGTGGCACAGAGGTTCGATCTGGGTTGGGCATGGAGTAGCCATCGGTGCCCGGGCCAAGTTCTCAGCTTGGCTGAGAAAGGTCCAAGCAGATTTATTGTTGGTGCTGAGTGAGACAGGTTCTGGTCCGGTGTGAAAGCCATCTGAGCATGGCCAGTGTGATGCCCTGGGACCTTGGGGTACAGCCTGCTCCTCAAGGTACACATCTCATGCCCTCCTCCTTGCTTGAGTACATGTAGGTTTACAGCCCTACAGAGTGGGGTTTACATGTTTCCCCCCATGCACTCGATCTTTTCCAAAAGCAAAAGCAAGACCCCAAGGACACAGATGTCGATGTTCACTCGGCTGGGAAGGCAGGCAGTGAGGGGCCTGGCGCTGCTCCCACCAGCTGCAGGGTGCTCCGTGCACGGGAACAGGAGCTCAGAACCATGCCTGCTGGGAAGCCAGCGAGGCCCTAGGACACAAGGGCTGTGCCAAAGGCTCTTCTTGGAGGGGGGTCACAGGATTTCACCTTTTACATTTTTATGAGCATTCAGATTGCAAACTCTCATGTATAGGAATGGACCTTGCATTGGGAACATTCGTAGGTGGGAACAAATCCCAGACATTGCCTTCATGTCTGCCTGGCACTGTCACATGGGGCTGCTGTGTGCGTGTTGTGCAGGGCAATCACACACAGCAGTGCAGGGCTCCATTGGAGTCCCGAGTGTCCAGTAGTAAGAGGAAAAGCAGCGACGATGAAGAGGAGACAGCTCAGGAGCCCAAAGCTGTCCATGTCAGGTATTGGTGTCACAGTGGTGTGAGGCCCACTTTGTCAGATTTACCAGTGAAAGCAATTTACCATTGTTCTTCTGGGACAGAGCTTGTTGTAAGTCAGGGACTCATAGTCATTTCAAGATCAGCAAGGTTTGCATCCCATGGGGTGGGAGGAGGCAGCAGGCAGGACTGGGATGCAGCACTGGCTCTCGGGCTCTGACCTGGGCCTCCTGGTGCAAGCATGAGACCCACTGAAGATGGGCACCTTTCCTGAACAACCTCTGAGCTAGCCAGGGGCCCTGGTGAGGATTCTCCCAGACTCCTGGACCCTTGTTGGCTTTGGTCACAAGGAATGAATGTGATAAGGCAGGAAGGGATGGCATGGAGAGCCATGTGCAGCCTGCATGTGAGCTCCCATGGGGCGACACAAACAGACAGCCACGTGTCCCTGGGCTCTGCTGAAGATGCCTGGCTGCAACAAATGCGCCTGGAGGGGAGTTGTGTCTCAGGGGTGCTTTCTGGTTTCCAGCAGTGACTTTCATGCCATATGAATATTCATGCTCCTGGGACAGAGTATGTGGGAGTTGCTCCTAGGCATCTGTACCTAATACGAGCCATGTGAATTTCTTTTGCTCTTGCAGCTGCTCTCATTTCCTGAGCACTGTGTGCAAAAAGAAAAAGAAATGTCACCTGTGCACATGTCAAGAGGCATCCTTTGGTCCCAAGAGGAGCTGAGCTCATTCAGCAGCGCACAGTGTCTGCAGGTGAGTGGATTCACTCATAGATGGAAGGAAAGGGACATGGGGAGGAGGGTTGGGTCACCCTTACTCTGCACACTTCCGGCAGCAGGCTGCCCACTTGTTCTGTGTCCTATGTATGCATGTGTGTGTGTCCTTGTGAGAGAGAGCTGTATAAGTGTACGTATACATGCATGTGTGTATATGCCTATGAGAGAGCTGTGCTAGCAGGCACATGCCTGTGCGTGTGATGTGTGTACCTGTGTGAGAGAGCTGTGTAGCGTATGTAGACATGTATTGTGTGAGTGTAAATGCACGTGTGCTTGAGTCACCTTGCAAGAATTTCAGATGTATGTGAGTGTGCTCGGGTGTGCACGCTGAGCTCCTGCGTGTGGCACCCTCACTCACTCCAGTCTCTGGGAGTGCCTGACAACAGCAAGCCTCCTCCCTACCCGTGCTGCCCCGTGCTGCACGCTCATCTCAGTGCTGTGATACAGACACTGTGCAGCTCTCTGGTTCCCTGCTTCTGAGTCCAGGGCTGCTTCTCCGCTGGCAGATGTGGAGTTTGTCCACTGGGGATCTGCACTGGGACGTCCCTCAGGTGAGCTCAGGAGCCCGACCATGTGCGCGCCGCAGGCACTCAGGTTCTCCTACCCATGGTTTCGTGTCCTCTCTACCCCCTCTTCCCGCCTACAGTCACTTTAGCACCTTCCTGTTCCGACTCCTTTGTCTGGACGTCCCTCCCAAGGCTGCCTCTCCCGACTTTCTTTAGGTGCTGGAAGTTGAACTGGGCCAGAACTGCGGCCCCCTCTCTGCAGCTTAGGCAGGGAGCTTCATTTCCTTGCTTTCCAGTCTCCTCCTGATTACAAGGTGCAGGTGCAGAAACACAGAGCTGTGTGCAAATCAAGTGAAGTATGTGGTATCAGTGTGTTTCGTGAACTTTTGAGCTCAAAAATAGTATCTGGCTATGTAATGTAACTGTAAACCTCTCCTGCTCCTTGCGTATTCCTTGGTTGTTGGTGAGAATGTGAATCAATTCCATCTTTTTCTTTTCTTAACTAGGTTGAACACATGAAATTTCTGATATTCAAATACTGTGCATGGTTGGTCACGCTCTAAGAATAGCAAGCCCTGTGGCTTACCCTGATACTTAAAACGGTGTCTGCCTAGTTGGTCTGTAAGGATAAACCCCAAAAGGTCTGCAGGTGAATCGTGACAGCAGACGAGGTGCCACCCACGTTGCTGCGGAACTGGTTCCCGAAGCACAATCGTCACTGGCCTCTCTGCGCCTGCCCCTTGACGCGGCCCCCTTAGTGTCCAGTGACCCGCGCTGACGTGCCCGGCGGGGACACGGAGGGAGGCAGGGTGCGTGAGAGGGTCGTGAGGTGGAGCCGCAGGTATGCGGACCGGGGTGGGGGGAGGCGCCCCCTCCTCTGCCAACCAGGTGACTGCGCTGCTGGCTGCCATGTGCTGAGGCCCCAGCATCCTGGTTCCTTGCGAAGGACAGGTGGGCACGGTCCCTGCTGTGCCGACAGGGAAGGCTTTTTCCTACCACTAAAAGCATTGCAAAGCTTGAGGAAGGGTTTTACTAACCCAATCTCTGGGGGCCATTTGAACATCTTTTCTGCTTTTTATCAAAATTTAAGGGCTGGGGATTTAGCTCAGTGGCTTAAGTGCTGCCTGGCAAGCGCAAGGTCATGAGTTTGGTACCAAAAAAAAAAAAAAAAAAAAAAAAAAACCACCTAAATTTTTTTTTGTCTTTTTCATTTGCTGAGCTAAATTCCCAGCCCCAAAAACTTAAAATTTAAAGCTCAATTTTGCGGTGTTGTAGATGGGACCCTCGCCTTGCCCACGCAGGGCAAGCAATCTACCACAAACTGTACTCCAAACCCTATTCAAGCGTCTCGGGAGTGAAATTGCAGGGCTTCTTGCAAGAGGCGATGTGGAATAATGAATTATGTAACTTCTGTGGGGTTTAAATACATTATGCCAAGTTTGTGGTGATATTTTCCATGCTCAAAAAGTGTAAGTCACATGATAGTCTACATGGAAGACCCCCAAGACTCCACCAAAAGACCTCTAGAATTAATAACCAAATTTAGTAGCATAGCTGGATACAAAATCAGCACTCAAAAATCATGGCATTCCTGTATACAAAGGAACTCACTGAGAGAGAAATAGGGAAACCACACCCTTCACAACAGCATGTCCTCCCCCAAAAAAGAAATACTTAGGAATCAATCTCACAAAGGAAGTAAAAGCTCTATACATGGAAAATTACAGCACTCGGAAAGAGGAGATCTGGCCAGAGAATGCAAGGTCGTGAGTTTGATCTCCAGCTCCTCACCCCCAAAAAAGGAGATGGAGGTGGATATCAGGAGATGGAAAGATATTCCTTGCCTTTGGGTAGGAAGAACCAACATAGTGAAAATGGCCATACTCCCAAAACTGTTATACAAATTTAATGCAATCTCGATCGAAATACCATTAACATACCTTATAGATTTAGAAAAACACTCCTAAAATTCATTTGGAACCAGAAGCGACCTAGAATAGCAAAAACAATTCTCAGAAACAAAGGCAAGCCAGGCGGCCTCACAATCCCTGACTTGAAATTATACTACAAAGTTGGAGTGATAAAATCAGCATGGAACTGCCAAAAAAAAAAAATAGACTTGAGAATCAGTGGAACAGATGAAAAGATGCAAACACAACTACAAAGACACTCAGCCACCTTATCTTTGACAAAGGGGCCAAATATGTTTACTGGAATAAATGGTGCTGGAAAAGCTGGCTCTACTCATGCTGAAGACTAAAACTAGACCCATGCTTATCACCAAGCACTAAATTAAAATAAAAATGGATAGAATATCTAACAAAGAAGTAAAAGATCTATGCATTGAAATTTATAGTACTCTGAGAAGGGAGATTATTAAAACAGAAACACTAAATCTTAAAGACATAGGGGTAGGCAGAGAGTTTATGAACAAAACCCAAGCTGCACAGGAAATACTTCAAAGAATCAACAACTGGAATCTCATCCTATTAAAAAGCTTTAACCCAGCAAAAGAAATCACTAACAGGATGAAAAGACAGCTGACAGAGTGGGAAAAAGTATCACTCGTGTCCCTCAGACAAAGGACTTCTACCTAGAATAAAGAATTAAAAGCTTCAGGTCCCCCAGATTCAAAGACTCAATTCAAAAATGGGCATCTGAGGTGAATGTATACTTCTCACATAAATAAATGCCGATGACAAATAAATAGATGAAGAATGCTCAACATCACAGGGCATTTAAGGGCAAATTAAAACAACACTGAGATTCTGTCTCCAGAAAGAATAGTTATCATCAAGAAATCAACTAATAACAAATGCTGGAGGGGCTCTGGGGAAAAGGAACCCTTCTTCACTGTCAGTGGGAGTGTAGACTGGTGCAAACACTGTGGAAATCAATATGGAGGCTTTCTAAAATAATCTGGATTTTAGAGGTCCCATTCAACCTGGCTATTCCCCTTCTGGGTATCTTCACAAAAGAATTAAAAACACACTACAGTAATATACGCACATCTATGTTTATAGCAGCACAATTTGTAACAGCTAAATTTTGGAAACAACTCAAATGCCCATTGACCCAAGAATGGATTAAAAAGATGTGGTACAGTGAAGTACTACTTGGCCATGAAGAAGGATAAACTTGAGACTTTTATAGGTAAATGGATGCAATTTGAGACCATACTCATAAGTAAAATAAATCAGATTCACATGTGTAAACATCACATTATCTCCCCGGTGTGAGAAACTGAAAGAGTAAATAAGCATCAAAATGTACGACAGATAATACAAAATAGGAAGAAATTATTCAAAAGGAAAGAAGAACTATGGTGGAAGAAGGAAAAAAGGAAGGAAGAGGAAAAAGGAAAAAATACCAGATAGTTATGCCACTAACTTCTCTTAGTTCACTGAAAAGAAAGATTTGTGCTAGTATCATTGCAGAATTTTTTATGCCCATATCTTGCACTCTGAGTAACTTCTTTGAAGATAACAACATGCCGTGTACTATTGTTATTCTCCTATTGTTTCATTATGAAATTTTATTTTTTCCATAAAATAGAAAAGGTACAGGTTTCATTCTGATATTTATTTGAAGAAATAGAGTAGCTGCTCCTCAGGGTCACATTGAAGTTATGAGCATCTTAATTTGGAATAAACTTTACCTTTTCCCTATGTAAATTAAGATATTGTACTCTGAAAAATAATATATTGAACTATGTAATCCGTATTACACATTGGGACTGAAATATATATATGTGTATATATATGTATATGTATATGTATATGTATATGTATATGTATATGTATATATATGAAATTCTTAGAATTGCTGTCTCTCTCCAGGGAGGAAAGAACAGGGTCAGTTCTCGTGTCATTGTTTTATTTTTACTTTTCTAGCACAGGGCATTGAACTCTGGCGTGCTGCCTCCCCAGTCCTAACTCGAGCTTTCAAATTTTTAACAAGACCCTATTAAGTTCCTGAGGAAGGACGAATTTGTGATCCTCCTGCCTCATCCTCCCAAGAGCAGGTGTGTACTACCACGCCCGGCTGCAGAGGTGCTAGTGGCCAGATTTTCTGCTTTACAAATGCGTGTTCTTTCACGCAGCGCGCGTATTCCTGCTTCCGCGTGGATTTCACGCTAACCCAGCAGTGAACATCAGTTTAGCGCTCCGGTCCTTGGGCGCCGGATGAGCGGGGCAGCTCCGGGGTTGCGCTGCCGGCGGTCTCTCGCGCCCTCTAGTGGCCAAAGCCCCTCACTGGACTCTTCCTTCCCCTCCACCTGTGGGCCAGGCAGCTGGCGGGGGGGGGGGGGGGGGCTGCTACCCAGCACAGAAACTCGCTCCAGGTGAGCGGGCTCCAGGTGAGTGGGCTGCAGGTGAACACTCAGTCCAGGTGATGGAGTCCAGGTGAGTGGGCTGCAGGTGAGCAGGCTCCAGGTGAGCAGAGCCAGGTTATCAGGTTCCAGGTGAGCAGGTTGCAGGTGAGCGGGCTCCAGGTGAGCGGGCTGTAGGTGAGCGGAGTCCAAGTGAGAGGGATCCAGGTGAGCGGGCTGCAGGTGAACAGGTTCTCCACGAAAGGAGAGAACATTGCCTGACTCAAGGAGCAGCTTCAGGGATGTCAGGCCTCCACCTTTCCTGAGCCAGCAGTTTTTGGAAAGCCGTGGAAAGGCCCACTAGCTTCGTGCCTTGCAGAGCTGTGTTTGGCTTGTGAGAGCTGCACTGTCCAGTTCTCCACCTATGTACCGTGCATCCTACAGTCGGTAACCTGCAGGTGTTACAAGGCCTCCCCACCCCGTCCCTCTGGAAGAGTATCAAGGTCTCTGCAGCCAGAAGGACCAGCTGTGATCACTAACTGTTCCATGGGGCTTGGATGCAGAGGTCACAGTTCCTAACTGTGTCATCTAATTGTGTCTTCGGGGCTGCTGCAGGTGGCTGTGTGACAGGATGAGCAATCCCCTCGTGTGTGTGTGCGTGTGTGTGCACGCATGCATGTACTACTGTGTGAACGTAGCTCTGCAGCTCACTTGGGTAAACACTGAGGAGCACACACCCCAGAGCATAAAATGAAACTACTTCAGCCCTGTGGGATGCTGTGGGGCAGGCCTTGGTGCTTCTGCAGGAGGGTGAGCCTACGAAACCCAGGCTGGCCGAGTCTGCATTTAAGCACATGAAGTCTTGACGCTGGAGGCTGCTGATGGTCAGTTCCAACACTAGTGAGAGATGGAGTGGGAGGCATCTGGGGTCAGTGGTGTCCGACCCTTTAAGTACTGGAGGCCTGCATAGCCTTGGTGCTCAGGAAAGGTTCCACTCCTTTTGGGAGCCAGCTGGGCCTGAAGCCACGAGCTGACACTGTGAGCACCACCAAGAGCCTCACCAGTGCCAGCAGCTTTACCTACACCCTCTTTCTCCTTCTTCTCCCCTTGGCCCTTCTGTCTGTTCCTGCTGCTGATGTCCTTCAATGAATGCAGCTACTTGCTCCGAGGTGAATGCAAGTTAATCCTTTCTGTATCATGCACAAGAACCTCTGTGGGTTTTGCCCAGGAAACTGTACACTGGCTGTCACACGCAGTGCTTCCTCAGTGGAGTGTAGGCTTGGGGAGCTGGTGCCCACCAGCATCTGATGTGCAATGCACTGGACCACCCTGCAAGCTGTGTGCGGTTTTACATTGCAGCGCCCAAGTGACACATGATGCTGAGTGTGTGTGTCCCTGAGCTTATCTCCCACGCTCCTCTCTTCTCCACTTAGGAGTCTGTGTGCAACTTCTGCCTGGTTTTAATTGGGTCATTTTCTCACTGTCACATTTTAAGAATTCTTTGCAATTTTTTAGGTATAAGTCCCAAGCCAGATATGTTTTACAAATATCTTCTCACATCCTGCAGCTCATCTTCATTCTCTTAACAGTATCTTTCCAAGAAAATATACTGTTAATGCTAAGATAGTCCAACCTAGCAGCTCTTCTCCATAGATCATGCTTTTAGTGTTGTTGCTAAAATTTTTTTTAAAAATCATCATTATCGTCATCATCATCATCAGGTTGAGATCACCCAGACTTTGTCCTGAGTGGTTCCCCAGCTGTCTGATGTTTTGGATCATACCTCCGGGCCTGAGATCTGCTGTGAGGTGGCCTCATGGAGTCAGTCAGCTGTCCTTTTGCCCAGGTACAGTTGTCCCCGCTCTGCATGATGAAGATGCCAACCCCTGCCTCTTCGGTGGTTTGCCTCTTTGCCCAAGGGCAGTGGGCTCTGCTTGGGTCTTTTTCTGTGTTATCTCTTCCACCCCCATGGATCTCTCTTCATTTTCTATTTTGTCTTCTGAGTTTTTAACCATGGGCTTACAAGTTCTCACTTGGAAACAGCAGAAATGAATGCCACACTGATTTTCAGGGTACACGGTGTACTGATGACAGTGGGCAGCAGGGCAAGGTTGGATCTTTGTGTGACTATCAGAGTCTGATCTGAGTGACACAGGCTCAACGAGCAGATCTATCAAGGGCTAGGTGACTTGTGCAGCCATCTGCTTTGCCCCATACCTTCCAGAGGACAACTTGCTTTCCCCTGAGGATTTGTGAAGGGTGAGAAGGAAAAATACGAGGCCAGCAGAGGAGAGGCCACCTTCCCGGGGTGGAGGCAACCAGACGGCTGGGATTCCTGGCTTAGCTTTGCAGCAGCTCTCTGAGGCCCAAGGTTCTCTGGCTGGCAGGTCCCAGGCTAGGGACAGAGTGTCTGCAGGTGACAGACTTGATGGACATCAGATGGGTCATTGCTTTACGATGCTGAAGAGTCAGCCATCCAGCTTTGTCCCTGAGCACCACTCCTAGTAGGGAGAATACAGTGGAGCCTGATTTAAACTGTGGATTAGAAGGTTAAATTCCCAGTGGTAGCAGCGCTTTCCATATTATGCCTGTAAGGCTCATCTTGGGTCAACACATTAAAAACCAGCAGTCGTTGTTTTGAAATGCATGGAAATATGGGAAGGAAACTTCCATCACTCTTTCTGGATTTTCCATTAGAGTGAGGATTCCCAACGCACCACAGTCTATAAGAAAGCACAGTGGATTCCAAAAATCTTCTTCACATTTATCATTCAAGTACCAACTTGATGTCTCTGCACAAATCAAATTTCAATTCACTTCTGTTAGGAGATGAAGGCTGTTACTGTAAAGCCCGTAACGGCACACGAAGCACAGAAACCTCCCCTCAGGTCCTATCTGTCCCAGGCTTTGTAAACTCAAGAACCTAAGTAGAATAGCAGATTTACAGCCAGAGGAATTTCATTTTACCAGACTTTTCACTCCATCCCTAGGAAGCAATAAATTATCCAGAGTTGCTACTTTAATTGTCTATTGTTTTGGACTCTTGTAATTTTGCAGCTTTTGGATGAGGACTCCAGGGTCATGGGACCAGAGGAGTGAGAAAAAGGGAGAGAAGATGACAAGAAGGGTGGCCAGAGTCATTGCAGAGTTCAGCCAGGTCAGCCAGGACCAGCCTATGAAAGAGTCCAAAGCACCAAGGGTCACTGGAGCTTTTCACTCACCATGGTTTTTATTTCCAACCTTGCAGAAAGCCAGGTTGAACATGGTGCTATCCTTCAGCTGGAAGGGGATGGCAGGATGGCACCAGCTCCCAAGAGACGGACGACGGCACCCCTGCCCTCGGGGGAGTATCCCAGGCAAGGCACTTTCCTCAAGGTCGTGGGGAAGTCAGCATGCAGACCTTTTGGCCAGCCCATTTCTGCTCTTTTCTAACCATACAAGTCATAAGTTTTGGTGCATTTCTTTGAGGCCTGAACCCAGGAGTGGGACCCTGGGATCACAGGACAGCCTGTCTGCCCTGCTCTGTTTTTTCCTTTAAAGTCAATTCCTGTTGGCTTTTTCTCCCTCCAAGTTGCCTCTAAATTTTTTTCCTGATGACATGTTTTTTCGCTGTTCATCACAAATGAACTCTTGTTTCTTTGTGAGTTTTCTGTCATGTCCAGGGCTTGGGAGAGGGCAGCATTGTGGCTCTGAATGCTAAGTCCTCCCTTCATAATCAGATCCGAACCACTGTAGATTTCACTGCAGTGGGCGGAGCTGGTGTAACCCTGTGAGTGGCTCAGGGATGCAGCTGGGATTTAGTTTCCCTGTGAGTTAAAATCAGCTCCAAGGAGCCCCATCACTTGTAAAAGAGCAAATATTATTTTATTTAATGTCATTTCAGAAACAAAGCTATCATCACTGTATCTGAAAAGCTACTTAACTGGTCATGGATTCAGTAACTTGAGTACTTTGCCCTCCACCCCCGGCGTTTTCCGGTTCCGTATAAAAGCAGAAGTCCACACTGGAAGCTCTGTTGTGCTTGCCACACCCTGTCATAGTGTAAGAACTGCATTAATAGTGTTTCAGGGCATTTGATTCCTTTGCTGTGTGAATAGGAAATGGTCATGGCCTCCTATGGTGCCGCTACAACCCCGGGTCATCCAGCTGACCCACTCCAGGGACCCTACAATTTTGGCAAAAGTTCCAGTGGTGGCTATGGCTAACTTCTGCGTCTACTCCCTGATACCCCTCAGGTCCTGGTGCATATCCCAGGGTTGTGTTGGGAACATCCCTGTGTTGGGAACATCAGAGCCCATCAAGGGAAGAGACACAAGGTCTGCAGTCTGAAGACACGCAATGGTGAGCACATTATTAAAGTAACTGGCCTTTCACATGTCACCATCCCACCTTTACATACATCACATCCTTGCCGTCATAACTGAGTACTGTTGGGAAAATAAATTTCATTTTTCTAGAAAGTGCTACACTGTAGCCAGCAACTAACAACCACTTAGGGAGAACTAAATACAGTGAATGAATCATTTTATGTGGCAGGAGCACAGTTATGTGACCCAAGAAGAGAGGTGTGTCTGAGGCCCCTCACCCAGAGAGGGGTGGGGCGTTTACCCAGCTCCGAATGGTCCCACTCCTGTATTCCCATGCTCCAGGTCTTTTCCAGGGTGCATGTCTCCCTAGTGTGCTCCTCCGCAGGAAGATGAGGTTGTCCTGTGAGACTGGAATCTTGCTGTGCAATGCTTTCCCTTGGCAGGCAAGACTGGTTCTAACTGGCCATGGTTTTGGGATGAGGGGAGTCTCCCCACCCTCCATGGGTCCCTGTCCTGCTCTGGAAGTAGCCTCCATGTCTGTAAACCCAGATCCAGACCCGATCACTCCGAATGACAGCATGTACCCCAGCTGCACGCTTGGTGTCTAAATTCTGCAGCTCCACCCCGAGGGGCAGGGTCTTGCATCAGCAGTAGTTAAAATGCATGGATCCAAACTGCATAGTGCCCTCTTGAGGCACGGTGTTGACATCTCTTATACCTCAGAAGTAGAGTCTGGTGTCTGGAGCCAGGTGCCACCTTCTTTGGCTCCTCCACGGTTAATGGCTGTCTTAGTTACTTTTTACTTGTTGCTGAGACAAAATACCTGATGCTCAAAGTTGGGAAAGAAAAGCTTTATTTCTTACAGTTTTTGGAGCTTTCAGTCCATACCGTGTTGGCTCCAAGGCAGGGTGGCATGGCGGGGCCACAGTTTATGGTGGCAGCAAACAGCAAAGTGGAAACCGCAAGAGAGGGAGATACACCTTCTTCCTGCCATTACATTGTATGCTGGCTCCACCCCCATGTGTAGCACTGACATCATCAATTCAAGATCTAGACAATGAACCAATCACAAATGCATAATGCACATGAATGAGGCCTGGGGGCCACCGATATAAACCATGACAATGGCCCATGGCACTTGGCTCAGGCTGACAATGGGTCAGGCTTTGGTATGGCCTTGGTCACCAGAGGAGTGAGAACAAGACTTAGGTCACGCTGCCATTCAGATTGCCCCTTCAGGTCCACAACACCTGACTAGGTGGGGCTTGCTTTTTACTGTGTGGCCCAGGGTCATGGGAGTGTGGAATAACGGCAGGGTGGAGTTGTTCTCTGAAGCCCTTGGCTGTGTGTATTTCCCACCATGAGCAAGGCATTTAACTTCGGCCCTGAGAGGTCTATGCCCAGTGTGACTCTGGGTGAACAGAAGCCCAGGTTCACTAGGGCAGTGGTGGTGAGCCGATAGCACATGTGTACGGCGGGCTGTTTGTGTCAGTGAAAGCTCTAGAAGCCTCGCCATCACTGTGTAGAGCATGGATGCAAACAGACAGTCCCGTGTCAACCTGAGTGCTGGCCTTGCCTGTCCCATTGCAGGCAATAGAGAATGAGGACTGCAAGCTCTGCTGACCTGAAGGTCCAAGTTAGAGACCAAGATTTTCAGCCACAGGACATTTTGATAGGTCATTTCTCATTGCCTTTGAAAGGCAGTCCCGGTAACACACAGTGACAGTTCTCAAAACAGCTGTGCTTTAGGGTCGGTGGGTCACCTTAGAGCTTTATGAAATCCTAGCACCCAGGTCTCTCTCCAGGTGTATGACAGTTATTTGGGGCAGAAGCTGCACATTGCTATTTTTGGAAAGATCTCCCAAGGCGACCTCTTGATTTCGATGAAAGCCAGCCCCGAGGATGGCAGTCCTCTGGGCTTCACCGAGGCTGCGCAGATGGTCTCTGGGCCCTGCGTGTTGAGCTCAGCGATGCCCACCATGGAAGACACGAGGATAGCCAGCTGGTGAACACCCAGCAAACAACAGCACTGAAGATCAAAATGATTTATCCCCGTCCCAATACATGTGAAATCCATCCAGACCTGGCAGAGCTCGCCCATCTCCCAGCCGGAGATTGCACCTATGCCTCCCCACATTCCTGGTTTTCTTCAGGAGATAAGAGGTCTTGTAGTTGTTAAATAGTTTCCCTATCTACAAAAAAGTATTTCTGTAATTTAAACTTTTAAAAGCAGGTTCCCCTCCTCCAAGAAGTTAAAACCATTTCCTGTTTGTATGTACATTCTGTTTCCTTCAAAGCAGGCCTCATAAATTTCAGTCATACAGTCACTGGAACCCAAGTGTGCCTTACAAAAGTAGTTGAGTTTGAATAATAATTCAGTGAAAAAACCTGTACCTGCTGCTTTCTGATCTAATGTCATCTCTGCTAAACTAATGGCAGGTAACCCTTGACTAGAAATTCACCTGCATCTATAGGAGAAAACATCAGAAGCCCACGATGTTAGTGAAACCTGTTTAACATTAAAATAAAACCAAAACCAAAATTTATTAGTGACTGTCAGGATAAGAAACAAAGATGACCTCCTCCCAACCCCTCCAGACACGCTGGGTTCCCCTGCTGCAGAATCTTCATGTGTCTCTTGTAGAGGTCACCAGTCTCTTGCCAGTGTCCCATCGCCTACCAGGTCATGGTGAGTGGTACCCAGACCTCAGCACCCTGCTCGATGTTCACCTTGCTTCTTGTCCCTCCCTGTTCCAGTTTACTGTTCCTGTCAATCATATCAGTCTCATTTAAATCCTCCTCATCTTCGTGCAGGAATCCAGAATGCTCGTGGGCTTCCATTCGTGCAGGAATCCAGAATGCTCGTGGGCTACCTATTCCGCCTGGTTTCCTATCGAGGCTTCTCTGACCTGTCCAGTGACAACCCCTGTTCTCTGGCTCTGCATCCCGCCTCCTGGAGTTGCCCAAGGGCAGCTTACTTTTGGCACTGTGACTTCTCTTACTTGTGTCATAATGGGAACACTTTTCATCGTCTCATTTGTAAAAGAGCCCATCCTTAAAAATCTAGTGGAGCCAGGTGTGGCACACGCTTGTAATCCCAGTACTTGGGAGGCTGAGGCAGGAGGATTGTCATGAGTTTGAAGCCAGCCTGGGCTACAAAGTGAAGTCAAGGCCACTTGAGTTACGCATTGAGTTCCTGTCTCAAAAATAAATAAATAAATAAATAAATAAATAAATAAAAACACAGACTCAAGTACAAACAAAAAAACCTTGTGGAAATCATCTGTATGACCACACATGCAATGACTCGTTACCTAATTACTCTTCTGCCTATTTATTCAAGAAACGCAACTTATGGAGTGTTAGTAGAAGCCTGGAATTGACACATTGACTTCAATTTGATGAGATTATTTTCATTCTGTGAATTTTTATCAATATGGCTCTACGTATTAGGAACAGAAAGAGAAGCAGAGAAAAAGTAAATCTAAGTTCCTTTCTTGAAAGATACCAAAAGGAAAAGTACCCAACACTGTAATTAAGTGAAGTGTAAACTACTGTTTACATGTAGTAAACAGTAGCAAAATACAGAAGATTATTAATGTTGGTGCTGCTGTTATTGTGACTCTTGAACCCTAGAATCCTAGGGAAATGCTCTCTGAGCCCCGGACTCTGCCCTCAGGCCTGTTGAGCTCTGAGCCTAGGGCTCCACCCTGGCAGTTCCCTTCCTGCTCTGTTTCTGCCCCTCCTTCACATCTGTGTCCAAATGGGTTCCTAACCCAAGTTCTCTTGTGGCCCGGAGTGGCTGACAGGCGGAGCACTTGGCTCCTCTGCAAGGGCCTGGCCTGCGTGCTTAGTGCTTAACCCAGAGGAACCCAAGCTGCTGCAGCTTTGCACCTCCAGCAGGGCCCAGCCCAGAGCAGGCCTGCTGAGCAGTCAGGTGGAGGCCTGGGCATCTGTCTGGGGCTGTTTCCTTTGCGTTCCTCCCTCCGGAAGCGGCCCTGAAGGCCCAGCCTACTCCCGCCCCACTGCCCACACCGTGAACACATTCAATGATGGAGCGATAAGGCTCCCCCTGCTCACCTAGCCTGTTCGGACGCGGCCTGAGCCTGCCAAGAACAGCCGGCTGAGATTTGCTCCCGGAAGCTCCCAGGTTCCGTGCAGAACTCACAGGGCCACACCTTCTCTATAGTAGAGCAGTCCCACAAGACAAGCTGCAAACTGCTCACTGTGTTAAGAATCTGAAACCCTGGCCTGATGGCGCAATCTCAGCACAGGGGGAGGCAGAGGCAGGAGGACCACCTTGAGTCCAAGGCCAGCCTGGGCTACATAGACAGAGCTTGTCTCAAAAAACTAAACACAAAAAATCTGAAAACCTGTAACCATTTCTATCCCAAATGTAGTCACGTTTCATTCTACTTTTAAGCACTGTATTCTCACATTACAGATTTAGCTGCGAGTGGCTGAGTTACTTGATACCTTACATTTTAAACTTTAAGAATTCAAGTTTTTATTTTTTAAATTTGTAGAATTTGTACTAGTGCATCTGCAGTATGTAATGATTACGTTTCTCGTGGGGAGTTGATGCAAGTACACCCATACGAATTCCTTTCATTTGCCTTTCTCTCCCACCCCTCTCCCAAAGAAATTAAAAGGGGGAAACCTCGAATAAAAAAATCTGCCAATCATTTAAGTGCTCATAGCTCAAAACCACAGTAATTTCTCTTAAATTTTTACTCTGGAGAAATGAAAGTAAGTGTGTAGACGAGGGCCATTACGGAAACATTCATAACAGCTTTATTTCAGAGAGCCAAGTATCCAGAACAACCGGAGTCTGTCACCCAGGAATGGTCCAAGACTAGGGAACAGCCTCACTCAGCAAAGCCACCTGGGCAGACAGGAACAGCTGGGGAAACTCAGGGAATTACAACACACACACCCACGGCTCCTGGCAGGCAAACACACGCATACACACTTCCACAGCTCGTGCGCAACGATACACATGCATGCGCACTCTCACAGCTCCGACGGACTGTACACACGTGCCCTCTCACAGTTCCCACGCGGGGATACACACACACATGCGCACTCCTACAGCGCCCCCTCGCAGGGATACGCACGCATGCTCTTCTCAGAGCTCCCACGCGGGGATATAGACGCATGCACATTGTCACAGTTCTCACGTTTGGATTCACACGCACGCGCACTCTCACTTCCCACGTGGGGATACACATGCATGCGCACTCCCGCAGTGTTCACATGGTATCTTGACAAAGGTTCTGGCTGGATGCTCACGACCAGTTCTTCTGGCCCAAGCTTAGAGAATGGGGAGACAGGAAGCCCTGCTTGTTGCAGTGTTTTGAATTAGGAAGAAAGCCAGGTGTGGTGGTGAACACTTATCTTCCCAGGACTCGGAAGTGGAGGCAGGAGGATTGTTGTGAGTTTGAGACCATCATGGGCTACATAATGAGGTCTAGGCCACCCTGAATTACATAGTGAGAACTTGTTTCAAAAAAACCCACTGAATAGAAAGAATTAGGAGGAATTCCTAGCAATTTTAAAATTTAATGAAATCCCTTAAAGGGTGACTATGTGCACAGACAGTAAACACCTGAGAAGCATCAGTGCAGGTCTCCAGCAGTGAGCCTGGGGGCTGAAGTCCTGGGCCCTTTCTTGGGCCCAGCCAACTATGCATTGAAGCCTCTGCAAACTGAGCGGAAACAATCCTTCCTTATACTGTGGATGTCAGATATGGAGTCCCAGTCATGAAATGACTAAGACACTTGGGATGACCTCTGAAATGTCTTGATTTTAGAATGCCTGCATGCCGACAGCATGCTAGAGGACTCAGCATCTCCCTAAGTGCCTGCCTTTTAGGAGCACTGCACGGGTGATTGGTAGAGACTGGATCGGGGGTGGAAACAGTGGAGGCCATCAGGGAATTGGTGGGCACTGAGGACACTGATCTCCTTGTGAGCCCCAGGCCTAGGGGAGCAGGCTGGCTATTGCAGTGTGATGTGGCATTGGGTAGTGTGATTTGAGCCCCGCCTGTGGCGAGCTGCTTCATCTCTGTGCAGCTTAGTACTTGTCAAGGGCAATGGGAGAGAAGAGAGACCCTTCCTCTCTCGTGAACAGACTGTGCAGACCTGAGGGCTATCTACTGTTCTTCAGGGGCTATGACTATTGGTTTCCGAAGTCATTCCACTTCTTAGATGACCCTGGAAGATGTGGACACTCACAGAGCCTTGGTGATTTGAGCTTATACGTGTCCACAGAAACACTAGATGCAGATATGAATTCTGCTTGGTGCTGTTCCAAAGCCCATTCCCCCACCACCACCCCATATACCCTGCAGGAAGAAGGAGGCTTCGTGGCTGTGGATGACAGCCTTGTACGATGTCACATCAGGACTCTGGAGCTGGCTTCTGCCCTTGCTCATGAGGCTGACCTAGCCCAAGCACACAGTGGTATGGGGCATGAATACAGTTTGTCTGTCCCACTCCAGACACATTACTGGCACAGTTACAATAACAGATATATGTTGAGGGAAGTTTTATGTAAAAGGTAGGCATTAATTTTGGGCTCTTCTCTGGTCCTATAGGAGAGAGTGAAGAATGCTTTGAAATATTTGTTAGGTGTCAAGGAAAAGCTACACCAGCACTTGTTAAAGGCAGCAGGATAGATCTTACATAGGCCACTGCCATGGAGCAGAATTGGCTCCACTGAGCTCAATACCCACTCCTGGAGACTGAGACAGAGAAGAGCCTGGGCAGCAGCCCTTTTCCCTGACCACCACCTCCAGGATGACCTCCCTGTCCCTGAGCTCCCTGGTGCCATGACTTCTCCAGCGCTGCTATGCTTCCTGGCATGATGGTTAAGGAAGAAGGCAAGTGGCAAACTGTTCTTAACTGCAGTTCTGTAGAATCAGACCTGAACCTCGGTGTGTTGGGACTGTGATCCAGACACAGGGTGCTGTGGGTGGCAGTCGGCCTGACCTCTGGTCCCAAGACTGTGTCCGATATTCTGCAGAACTCAAGGAGCCCTGCTATAAAGCCATTCTATGACGAAGCATTTCCGGATGACTCTCCTTTGGTCTGTTGTGAGTTCCTTATGTTCTTACGCTCTTAAATCCATGCATCAGTTATTTATTGTCTCCACAGTGTTGTGAAACATACTGCCCCAAGCCTAGTGACTTTTACATCTAGGATAGCACTCTACTTTCCTGGCTTGGCTGGTCATGGACTCCCCCAGGCTCACCCCAACAAGGCTTGCTGTCTACAGACTCGGCTGTGGTGGCCTTGGCTAGGGCAGCTGGCACCCTGCCTAGTGTCCACACCCAGTGCTCCTTCTGTTCCCTGGCTGTGTTTGCCCCAGCATGACCTGGGGCCTGCAGAGTGGTGAGAGAGGAGCAAATGTGGACTTCCTCAGGACCTGACTTGCTCCAGGTCAGATGCCTCCCCTCTACTTCACAATTCCCCGGGGTCCCCAGGCCCAGAAGAGGGCATTTTAATGGCAAGTCAGTGCCCATTTAAAAGAGAAGGATGTCAAGTTGGTGACCATGGCAAACTTCCTGGAGTGTCCTGGAGAACAGAGGGGGCAGTTGTGCCCCTCAGACTATAGGACTGTGAGGTCCTGCATCTGTTGTCACCTCTAGAGCTTGTGAGGACACACGCTTTCAACCATACCACTCACTAGGGATCCCAAGCCTCAGAACAGAGGGAAATAAAAGATTTGTGAAGAAAGAGGAAAAACAGAGACCTTGTAACACCACCAGACTCCCCACTTTGCCTTTCCATTCCAGCACAATCCTCGGCACAGTGGAGAGAAGACACTGACCCAACCAGGCCTCAGCAGAAGGCTAGGAAACAACAGAGCCAGCATTTGCCAGGCCACCTGGGGCCTTTTCAAGGTCTGGACTGATAATCAGAACCTGCTCTTTGGGGAGGGATTCTTCCTACTCTACCTATGCCTAGGCCTTTAGGAAAACTGCATCTCAAAATCAATGAACTGTGCTCACTTTGGCAGCGGATATACTAAAATTGGAATGATACAGAGATTATCATGGCCCCTGTGCAAGATGACACACAAATTTGTGATATGTTCCATATTAAAAAAATAAAATCAGTAATCTGCCTCTTACCTTGAAAAGTAAATTATTACATTGTGCAGTTCTTTCTGGAAACATACCTTTGCATAGTGCTTTATTAATTAGCTTCCTGTTTAATTAATAGCCAGATCTTAGTGACAGTCTGAGTAAACTTCCTGGTCTGATGCAGGCCACTCAAGGGTAGCAGAGCCACTTTCCCCAGTGATCCGCCAGGGAACATGGGTCAAACCACTGTCCCCACTGTCCCTTCACTGATGACATAGCCAGGCTCAAAGCTTTAGGTTCTGGATGTGAGCCTTCAGGTTCCTGGAGCCCGGCCTGTACTGTGGTGACAAGTCTGGGCAGTGTGAACTTCCAGTGCTGACATGAGGCTGTGTTTATTGAAGATTAACATGACACAATGCTATCAGACTTTGTAGTGAGAATTATATGCACTTGACTGCCATTTGACACCAGGGTTTTCTGCACGCAGGTTAAAATGTCACCATTCAAAGCCCTGAATTTAAGACCGACACACTGAGTCTGTGTTAGGACAGTGATCTCCCAGCCTTGTCATTCTGACCTGCTTTTGTCTGTAAGGACCAGCAGTTTGGCTTCAGCACCCAGCAGGCGGCTTGTGAGATGAGTTTTAACCTGTGGCACTGGATCCTTGGCATACCCTGAAGGACTGGCAGGAAGTGTACAGGCAGGGACTCTGCTCCTGCTGGGCAGTGACTCAGCAGCTGTCTATCCCTCAAATCCCCCCCTCCATCCCCTCCTTTCTGATGAGCTTTCGGATTACTCTAGACTCAGTGTAAGAGAATGAAGCTGTTGAGTTCAAAGAAAGGTGACTTGAGTGATTCAAAGTAATGAGTAAATATCAAGTGAAAATGTAACAGGAAGTTATTCAAAGGAAAGTCTTTTCGTTAGTGTCATGGATTTTTAAGTAAATACCGTTCAATTTTTCCATAAGTTTGTAAAAATCAATACAAGGAAGGCTTGAATTAAAAGATATTGCAGCAGGGGGAGGGGAGAATGTGTGGCTCTTTTGATCACTAATTCATTCTAATGATGTCTGTGTTGTAAGGAGTGAATAGATAACATAAGGGGAAGTAACCTCTGACACACACTAAGAATTTGGTAAGCATTTTTGGCTGTGCACCTTTTCTGACCTGGAAGTATTTGCCAAATATATGGATTTTCTGCTAAAGCATTGTCTCCATGGACTTCCGGTCTCTGGCTCTGTTTCCTTTCCTGCTGTCACCACCATGGCCACCATGATTCTGGTTGAAGGCACAAGGGTCTGATGCTCCGGGTAAACTAAGAAAGTTACAAAGTAGCTCAGGCAAATAATCTCCACCTGGAGTTGGGAATACAGGTGCTAAAACACAGTAATGTCCCTCTGTTCCTTGGAAGGCTCTGAAACATGCAGATGTTGTTGGGCGCCCTGGCCTAACAGATGTGCTCTCGTCTCTTCCTGAGGGCAGCCATGGCACGCTGGGCTGTTCATGTGACGGCACCTGTTCCTGTCACAGGTGGCCTTGCTCCTTCTTGCTCTGCCCCCTATGCCCACGGGCTCTGCAGCCCTCTCTCCAGCCCTGTCCACAGGAGAGGCTCAGCTCTGCCCAGGGCACAGAAGATTGTGGGGAGAACCCTGGCAGCTCTGCAAGCTCAGCAACAGGAACTCCAGATACTAGCGTGCTGGCCTCCAAACAGAGAGCAGCACTGGGACTTCTGTTTTGTCCGAAGGAAGTCTGTCTGTGACTTCATCAACAAGGACATTTGCTGCTGAGAACAAACAGGTCATCATTCAAAGCAAGACACTTTTGAGAGCAAAAGGATGTATGAACAGTTATACTAGGACAAGAGTCATAAAGCAATACTATCCCAGGGAATATGTCAGGTGATCCCCAAACTACCACCAGACTTCTGCATCTTATGCCCAGCACAGAAGAGAAAACAGTACTTTTTTGTCCCCTGAGTTTATTGAAAATAAAAGTGACGTTTGATAGAGAAAATAATTTGTTTACAAACTTCGAGAAGATCATTTAAATGTTTATGTAATTTACTATAACAAATCATGAATTTATTCTTCATTAGCAAACTGTTACCACAGCTTTGCATTATCCTAAGTAGAACAGAGGAAAACAATTAGGTTAGAGGGCCATTCCCCAAATCTGTCAGGTTTCATAGAGGTAAAAGAGAATTCATCCATCAGGAATTAGATTTAGTAATTTCAAGTTAGACTTATAATTTAGCTTTTGCATTACATTCAGTGATTTTTCGTTGTCTATATATGTCATATTTATAAAAAATACAAATTCTGATTATGAGGTGAAACCAAAACAAGAAAAGCAGTTGCTAAAATAAGAGTCTGAGTGATGCATTTTAAACCCTTAGTTCAGAGGAATTAGCTGAAAAACAGATGGCAATACTGTGTTTGACCAGGAAAGTAGGCCTACAAACCAATGGACAGACCTCTGTTTATTTTCTGCATGCCAGACACTCTGCTAGTCATTAGAGATTCAAATGTGGAAAAGTAGAGGTACTTCAGGAAATTAAATAATGTAGTTTGAGAAAATATCAATCAAAACTTTAAATACAACATACCTGGCAGTACCAGGCAAACTATGTTTTTTTCTGAGTAGGATCTGGACAGCCTTCAGGTGGAGAGAAAAGCGGGGAGGGGAGGAAACATGGGTTCGTTCTGCCCGGGTGGACGGAGAGGCCTGAAACAGGGTAACTAACTGTGTCTCTACCTGCACATTAGCTTCATCTTGGACAGACTGGGGCTAAACAAGGCTTCAGAACAAGACAAATTGTGTGTTCTCGCCACGTCACTTTATGAGTACTGCAGGCACTAAGTGTGCAGTGTTACATTTATAAAAAGAAATACTAAACTTTAACAGCAATTAGATGTTCAAAAAACTTCTGATCTCACCTACTGAGTAGACACTGAACGATTTCATCCAAACAGGCACCATCCTTTGCATTAGAATATTGGTAACTATTTAAAGAAACTCTCCATCAAAGCTGCCTCGATGTGGTCAGCCTCCAGCACTGGAGGTCTTCCGACTGTGAAAGGCAGATATCTCCATTGGTTGGATGGAAGCTGATAGTTTATATTCTAGGGAAGGTCTTTCCCTGGTCTTGGGTCTGAAGCAGAACCAGCTCATCTGTACGGGGTTACTCAGGACTCCGTCTCTGATCTTTACTCATTTTTGCTTCGGAACAACAGCCACAGGGAGCCCTGCACCCTGAGTGGAAGGCGTGGGCTGTTCTGCACCTTCATCCTCACAGCCACACCTCAATGTGAGTCTTCTGACCTCGACCTGCTCAGCATCAACTCCAACAAGGGGGAAAAACTTACACATAAATGCATGGGCTTATATGGTAGAGAGAGAATGAAGAGCCCCAGAAAGATCTCCTGGAAATTTGGTAAATTTTAACTGTAAAAGATTGCACTAAGGGGGCTGGAGGTTTAGCTCAGCGGCATAAGCGCCTGCCTTGCAAGCAGGCAGTCGTGAGTTCGATCCCCGGTACTGATAAAAAGGAAAAAGACAAAAAAAAAAAAAAAAAAGATTGCACTAAGGTGCTATCAATTGTACTGTATTTATTATTATAATTTTATAATGTCTTGGATATCAATGAAAAACCCTTCCCTCCTGTTTTTTTTCTGAACTATTTTCAGACTTTTAGTATTTAAAAAATTTTAACGATGCATTTTGTTGAATCCACTGTATACAAAATTCCTTCAACATGAAGTGGGACACACTGGATCTTTAGACCAAACACCACAGCAAGTGCTCAGTGGCCCCTCATGGCTAAATGCAATGCACCTGTGACCACATTCCTTTACCCTTGCATATGATTTGGGTTTTTTGTTTTTGTACTGAGAATTGAACTCAAGGTCTTGCACTTGCTGGGCAGGCACTGTGCCGCTGAGGTACAACTCTGGCTCACAAATGATTTTTTCAATTGCTTGTTAAACTTTAGAGAAACAAAAGAAAAACAAACAAGGAGGAATCTTGTCTCTACTTGGATTGCGTTTCTCTATCTTTTCTTTTTAATTTCATGATAATTCATAGCTTTATAATATCATAACTACCATGTCTCTGTTTATTTAGGTCCTCACTTCTGTCCTTCAAAATATTTTATGGGATTCTACTTGAAAGTCCTACATATTTGGGGTCTTTGAGCTCACTTAGCACATGCTGTGATGCAATGAGGGTGCTGAGCTACAAACACGAGGTTTTCATGGATGATAAAACCAAGACCCTGAGAACTGAGCCACCTGCCCGAGGAACACAACTAGGTGTTTGGGATGGACAAGCTCCAGGGCCCCTGTCAGGAGGGTCTCTCCTACCTGCTGCTGCTGCCTGAGAAGCTGCTCAAGGTCAGAAAAGAAAAAGATTTTCCGCAGTGGTCAGAGAGCAGGCTGCATTCTAGACCCTGACTCACCCAGCACCTCCTGTGTGGACAGCAGGCCCCGAGCGCAGAGCCTCCATCTCATTTTCTCTAGTCTCTCATGCCTCCCACCCCACCGATTTGGGACCCTGGGTTTTTCCTGAAGATTTGGTTTTCTGGGTGCCTCTCCTTCCCCAGGGCTACTGACACACTGCTAGGTCCTCTTCCCTTGGCCAGGTGCCTGGCATTCCCAGTGTTTCCAGCAAAGGTCAGACTTGGCCCTCCGAGGTCGGCGCGTCTTTGAGGCAATACATACCTATTTCACTAGTCTGGCAGATATGCTTAGTCGCTCTTTTGCCCAACTTTTGGAAACAGTGGAATTTTGAAGCAAGTTCTTGCACTTCTGGCAGTCCTAGGTTGATCTGCCCTGGGAATTGCGGTTTCCCCATCGCCTGGGTTCCCGTAAACTGCCTTGGGATGCACTCCCCCTTTGCTAGTCTCTTCTTTTCTGGTAATTCCAGCTCAGGTTCAGACTGAGGAAATTAAAGTTAAAACTTTCCAAACACCCAGAGTTCAAAGGACAGGAGACACCTGTCCGAGGAGAGGCCTTTCCCCAGTTTCCAGAAGCGCCAGCGTCCGGAAGACAAGGATAAGACAGGGATGGTGGGGCCAGGGACAGGAAGCCGGCGCCAGACACCTGGCCTAGGCAGGCTAGCGCTGGCCCCGGCAGGGGGCCGGGGCCCAGGGGCGCCGGAGACCGAGCGCAGGAGGGGACCCGAGCAGGTGCACTTGGCGGGCGGGGGCGAGGCGGGGGCGGGACACTGGGGGAGGGGATGTCGAGCGGGGGGGGGGGCGGGGGACGGGGCCGGGAAGGAACTGGGCTGGCCCGGGGCGGCGACGCCGGGCGGAGTCGGGGGCGGGGACGCGGGGTGAATGAGTCACCAGCCCGCGCGGGCCAGGTTCGCCCCAACTACGGACCAGCCCTGGGGTGCGTTCCGCACCTGCGTGGACTTGGCCCGGCGTCTGGACCGCGACGACGTGGAGTCGGGGATGCGCGCCCTGCCAGCCCCGAGCGCGCCCCGGGACCCTGAGCGCCTGAGCGCCGTGGAGCGGTTGGCGGCCGACCGCGCTCACTTCTGTCGCCGCCCGGCGGGCGTCGGAGACCCTGCGTCCAGAGGCCGCGGCGCAGGGCACGACGGAGACCCCTCCTCGGAGCCCCGCAGCACGGGCCCCGCCGCGCAGGTGCCCCGCAGGGCGACGATCCCTCGTCGGCAGCCGAGGCCCGACTCGCTGGTCATCTACAGGCAGAAGTGCGACTTTGCCCGTAGCCTGGGCTCCGAGGGCCCCCGCGGCAGCCTGGTGAAGAAGCTCCTCCCGGGCCCCGGCCGGGACCGGACCAAGCCCGCGCTCCCCGCCACCTCGCGGCCGGAACGCGTCGCGCGAACCGAGCCAGCCTCGGGGACCTCCGAAACCCCCGACGGCTCCGAGCCCGCCGCGGCCGCCGCGAGCCTCGGGAGCCCCAGGAGCCCGAGAGTCCCCGTGGCGGCGACCTCGTCCGCGCCCCCCGGGACCCGAGCGCGGACCTCGTCCCCGCGGACGGTGCGGCGCGCCGGGCTGCAGCGCTCGCACTCAGACCTTAGCCGGCGCAGCTGCGACCCCGGCGCCGAGTTCGACGCCTTCTTCCGCTTCTGTGGCCTGGACCCCGAGGTTGTGGAGGCACTGGGCAGGGAAAACTTCTCGGCGGGCTCCGACTCCGCCGCGCTCAAAGTGCGCAGCGTCAGTGTGGCCACCTCAGAAGGCGGCTTCTCGCGGCCCAGCGGCGGGGAGGACGACGGGCTGCAGGAGGAGGCGCTCACAGAGCAGGTGCCCAGCACCACCTCGGTGATCGAGAGGAACGCGCGCATCATCAAGTGGCTGTACACCTGCAGGAAGGCGGCGGAGACCCCGGACCAGGGGCTACAAGGACCTGCGTGACTGCCCTTGCCGCGGACCAGGAATCAAGGTGCTCGTGGAAGAGCTGGCGGCGCGGGCTGCGCGTGCGCATGGGCCAGAGGTAGCTACCCGGCTGGGGGGCGGGTTCCAGCTGCGCTTGGGGTTCAGCCCCTGCAGCCAAAAGGGGCCCAGACGTGGAGATGCAGGGGTTCCAGATAGTCACTGTAGCCAGAGCTGAGTTCGGGCTAGGGTTCTTTTCAGTGGACTCTGCCGTCAGGAAGGTCGCGCTCTCACTCAGCTTATTATTACGAAAAAGGTAGAAATCAGAATTTTGCATTGCTGTCAGTCAGCAGGTCCACCCTCTGGCTGCCACCATTCCCTGCGGTGGACTTGGTCACAGAGCCGAGAGCCTATGATTCGTGTGCCATGGGCCATGCTTGCTGTGGCCCCAAGTAAGGTCCGTGACCCCTGCACCCCCTGGCGGGCACTGCTGCCCCACCTGAGGACAAAGACAGGCTGTGCGCACTTTCCCAGACACCTTTAGTGTGGGAAGGCTTTCCATGAGACCTTGTGGGCAGTTCGGCATTCATTTAGCAAGAAAAGATCTTTATTTAGGTAGTTTATTTAAACTGAGTTGAGGGTTTCGTTTTTGTTTTTTTTTTTTTTTTTTTTTTTTTTAACTGGGTGAGTTGGACTAACTCATTTTCTTGGTGCATTGGACCAAATTAGTTCAGCACTGCCCAGTTGTTATAGTTCACTGAAAATGCTGGAAACAGAACCGAGCCCCAGGTCTTCTGCCAGGGGAACTGCTGCTCTCTCTTGGAAGCTGAGGCCCCGTGAAGCCCCTTGAAGGAGAAGGCAATATTCACAGTTTCTCTTTGTGAACCAAGGAATTACACATTGCAATGTCTGTAATTTTTTTTTTAAAAAATCATAATTTTGTCGGCCATTGAGTCACTAATGAGGATGCAGCATTATCAGGGTTGAAGCCCATAGGGTTCCCACATACTTGCTTGTGCTCCGCCCACCTGTGCCAGAGGACAGAAAGACGCCCCAAGAACTTCTTCGGTGCCCTCAGTAGGGACGTGAAATAGCAAGAAGGGGTTGCTTGTGCCTGAAGCTCTTCCTTATAATCTATGAAAACGTTTGTACCTTACACTAGTTTGAGCCTCCAAATAATGTAGATAAGCAGTCAAATTTTTAGAAACACACAAAAGATTATTTTGTAATTTTTTTTACCAATCATTTTCTGGGGCTGAGATGAGTGGATAGTGATGAGGGCACCTGTGCGACACAGTGGTGCCAGGGGACCAGGGCTGGTACAGAGAGAGTGGCCCTGAGTCGGAGCTTCTTCTGTGCCTGCTGGTACCTGGTCATGATGCTAGACCTGCCTGTCCATACAGTGAAGGGAGGTAGCCAGAGTGTGACTGGTCCCTTCATTTTATTTATTTTGTGTGCAATCAACAGTCTGCAAATCTGCCTTTGTAGTTTGGAAACTAGGAAAACAAAACAAAAACCCACTGCCTGTTGGGTTGTTGGAGAGTGATAAAGTCTGTTTCAGTAGGCAGCAGGTAGACTCCGATAGTGGTGAGGTGACTGGATAGCATGCACACAAACATAAATAAAAAGGGACAATGTAAAAATAAAAGCCAGCTCCCTCTGACCCCTCCAGATCCCGTCTCCATTGCGCCAGGGTCAAATCCTAAACTGGACAGGATCTGGGGTTAGTGTGCAGAGTGGCCTTTGCAGACCCCTTGGCAATCTAAAGATATGGAATACACGAGAAGTCTGGTTAGGCGAAGAACTCCCACCTTGTGACAAGAGGAGTGCTAAGGCGACAGGGAAAGTGAGGGTGGGTGTTGGAAAGTCCCCAGAGTGAAACAATACAGGACCAAGAGCACTGGCCCTATTCTTCTCACCCGACTTGCTCCTCACCTTCATCCCACTTGGCCCATCCAGGGGACGTGTTATTGTCCTCTAACCTGCTTGGCATTGTTGCTCAGGGCAGAGAACCATCACCTGTGGCCTGCCCTGGCTCCTGTGTGCTGTTGACTGTCACCATCATCCCATTTCCTTCACAGACTTACTCCCCAAGACTCACACAGCAGGGTGCGCACTCTGAAACTGTTGTATTCCTAGAGGACCAAGAGGAGGGAATAGGTGTCTGGTGTCCCAGAGCTCATGGTGTCCACGCAGGACTCATAGCCTCAAATGCTTCTTTCCTCTATGGAGATCTAGTGGGGACCCGGACCCCAGGCCACAGACAGACATAACTCACACCTGCTTTCCTGGACCGAATCTGAGCCCTCAGGACATGGGAAGCAAGAACTCATGCTCTGCCCTTTCTGTGGTTTACCATTTGTGTTGGATTCCTTAAAGATTCATTGTAGGATCTTATGAAAAATTAAAAAACTTGGAGATGAATAAAAGTAAACTTCGTAAGTAAAAGAATTCATATGTATTCTATATGGAGGTTTGGCTTACTAGACAGATTAGTAAATTACTCCACCCAGAACTAATTACACGTTTCTAAGTTTGTTGCCCTTTGAGGTAAAAATGTTTGTCATAAGTGAAAATATCAGAACCGCAGGGTATCTCTAGGCATCCTCGGACCATGTGTATGGTATGGTTACACAGGGGATTTGTGTATTCTTTCTCATCATTTAACTCAGAAAAATCGCTCCTCCATTCGCTGGTTATTAGTCATCTTCCTGTTCTTTAATTCATCAAACTGAATACTTGCCAAAAGATAGGTCTTTCTGGATTTCACATAGACTGTATAAATCACTGCTTTTAATATTGGTACAAAAGACTAATGATTTGTCTTGTGGGAGAATTAGGAAGAAACATTGTTTAAGAGCAAAAAATTCAGCTCTTTACAGCCATCTCCACATTTCCCTGTGGTGAAGACAGGGGTTAGTGTAGAACAAATGGAACAGGCTACATCTCATACGTGAAAGGTGCCATCACCTCGGGACATTGGGTAGGGACACCCAGGCAGCACTGGACACGTGGACGGGGTGCCCTGCTCAAAGGCTGCTTCTCTGCTCCTGTGTCCTCCTGCAGGCACTCTGAGGAAGACAGCCAGGGTGGACACCTGAGTAGCTGACAGCTGGCTCCTGTCTTTGGGCCAGTGCCGGGGCCTTTTGGAGACACTGGTGTTTGAAAAGGGTGGAATCTGTTTGCTTACAAATATTTAACTGGGCTTCCTCCCTTGATTTCTGTTGTGTTGTTCAGGCCCTTGGCAGTCAGTACTGGCCTTGTCTATGTTCAAAGGAGCAGGGAGGGAGAAGCAAAGACAAATTTCAGAATCCAAAGAACGCCTGTGGGAGACTTGCTGTGTCAGAGAAGCTGGAGGGTGGCGTCCTTCAATAAAACTCAGCATTTCTAAAACCAAAGGAGGTATTTTAAAACGCAGAGATGTCACAAAACCAAAGACTCTAAGGCTGAGGTTGGTACAATAATGTTTTGTAGCAGACAGGGTCCCAATCACATTATCTCTTTGCTCCTCAGAAAGCCAATGTGCCCAACGGCCAGGGGATCCTGATGCCAGGGAAGACAGCGGATCCCCAAGGCTGGGCAGTGAACCTCAGCGCCAAGGGACTGCTGCTTTTCCAGCAAAGTAGCGTCGTCTCAAGGGAGCCTCGCAGTCTTAGGTGGGAGCAGCGTCGTGGAGAAGGTGGGAACGCCAACCTTGGACACGGGCTCAGTTAGGACTGGAAACTGCAGAAGGGCCCGGTGCCAATGTCTTATTCACGCAAGGCAGCCAGAGAAAGGAAAGCTGCGAGAAACACTTTCTGGGGCGTCTTTTTGATTGATTCCCTAACTGAACGATACCGCAATGCATTCTGACAGTCCCTGAACTGGTTTTTAAAAGGGGGAGAAGCATAAGTATCAAGGCTGAGTGCCATCGCAAGTGCGCCTTTCAACTGATTTGCACGCACAGCTCACGGTTCTGTAACCACGAGAAGGTGCTCTACTTAAAAACCGCAGCTAATGAAGAGCGCGCGCGCAAACACTACCACACAGAGAAATATTTTTTCAGGGCACCTCTCCTCTATGAACCAGAGTTATTTCCCAATCAGCCCATTATTTTATTTAATGAGTCAGGAGAGGCCTGAGAGTTGCTTTGGGAACAGCGTTCCCGTGTGGCTGGAGGTGTGTGGAAGGATCCATTAACACCCGTGAGAGCTGCCCTCCTGCCAGATGGAACCCTTCTCCATACTTGCGGGCGGTTTCCCGAGAGGTGAGGGCGAACTTTGGGGTCCCTTGCCTAGGTCCCTTGCAGCCTCCCCGTTAGCAGGGGCTCCACATTTCTTTCTCACCGCTTCCGAGAGGGCCGGAAACCTGGCTCACGCAGGGGCGGGAACTGAGGCAGGCGCACTTCCAGGATTTGGCGTCCTGCCCCACCCACACCCCAGGATTTACACAGAGTCGGCGCCCATTGGCTCTCTCCTGCCCAGCGCGTGTTTTGCAGCAAGGGGCGGGACTTGTGGCTGGCCGATTGGAATCCGAGCGTGCTGGAGCCGCTGACTCCGAGCTTGCTCATGACGCCTGGGGTGAAGGGATTTCGGGTTAAGAACCTTCAGCGAGAATATGCAGCCAAGAGAACGTAAAAAATTCGTCACTGCACCAACTCTTTCAAAGCTTATTCTGTTTAATGAAAATAATCTCTTCTAGCACATAGTTATTTGAGAAAATATGGGAAGAAATGTTTCTCGTTGGTAGTGTGTTTTACAAACTACTCCACTTAATATATTCACGTATTTGTTTAAAAGTATGCTCTGTGCTATGTTTATAGTGAGGATAGTTCTTTGAGATACCTGAATATTTATTTTTATGGTTGCTGGTCTTCAGACAGTTTTCCTTTGTATCGCATGGCTTTGGCTTATTAGTTCGGTTTTAAACCTTGTTTCTCCTTTGTTGTCTTTCTTCGTTCGTTGTTTTGTTGGGCTTTCATACTTTGAGCAAAAGTGGAATGCTTGATGGCCTACCAAGTGCTCTGTATAGCCATGATCTGTTTTATCTGAATCTAGAAGACAGTCCAGGGCTCAGTAGCTGTAAGATGTTTGAACAACAAGGGGATCTGCCTGAGGAAACTGCCCCTACACTTACTCTTCAAATGCTATTTTGTTGTTCACTGTATCACAGTTTAAAAAGATACCAACGATGAGAGGAGTTCCCAAAGGATTATACACCCAATTCTTCTTTTCAGATATTCCATTAGTCTTATAGGTGAATGTGTAAGTGAAACACTTCACGCTTAGAACAGGGTCAGACTTATCAGTCACAGAATAGATGGAAAATATAAAAAATCAAACTGGTTTGGGTTGGAGTCACCAGCTCTTTGCCCTGAGTTATACCCTGGGGGATGGCATCGTGTTCATTTGGAATGAATTCTGGGAGTAGATGTCAGAGATGGGACCTGAGGACAGGGTAACAAGGTGCATCTGAGCAGAAGCAGCATGTAACCTCTGTCCTTTCAGATTGATGTCTCAACCCTGTGTCTCTAGGATCCTGATAGGAGAGACATGCCTTTTTCCAACTCTCAATTACCTCAGTTTGCTGAGTGACATAAAGAAAAAACCAAATGTGACTCTGTCTCCATGAAAAGCTTACTTCCCACAAGAATGCACAATCATTAACTGCTGAAAGATGCTTTCATTTGTTCAGGCAAGAGTAGCATGCAAAAATATGATTAAATGCAATGGAACGAAAATAGATGATTGCAAAGCAAGAAAAATAGTTTCACTGTGGTCTTTCTCATTTGCTTGCGGCTGCAGATCAGCAGTGGCCTAGGATAAAAGGCATTCATATGTCTGTAGAGCTCCTCCTTCTGGGAGGGTTTGCACACATGGTGCTGAGCCTCAGGCCCTTGCTGCTTGAGTAAGGGGTGGCTTCCTTGGACTCTGCCCTTCGCGGTGGTTCAGAGTCCATTGCCATCTTATGGCTGGTGGTGCCATAAAGCAACAGAATAGACTGTCATCAAGGGCAGTTTCTAAGAAAGGATTTTTCTGCAGGCTACTTGCAACCAGCATGCAATATTTTTTATACACTGTATTAAAGAAATAAAGTACTTATATCATTTGACTTGTGTGTTTGACCAAGGTAAAACAATCTTAAAGTGAGAGCGTGCTCCCACCAATCCTTCCTGTCTTGTATTTTTGCCCTTTCTTTTCCAATGTCACCTCTGCAGATTTGGGGAAAGGAGGGACACATTCTGGGGTTCGGCTGAGGCCAGCTGCACTGGGCTCCTGGAGATGGGGTGCAGTGAAAACAGTTTTGAATACTTAGCATTTTGTTCTTCTTAAATTGTTTCATCAGTCTTTTGCTTAAAAATGACTTTTCTTCACTTTTTGCTGATATCATTGGATAATGGGCACCGAGATAAAAGTGAAAGTACAGTCTGTACCTTTCCCATTAGTTCACGCGGGAAAGGCAAACTCTGCCAATCTCACTCTGCCTGGGGTATCTGCCAGCTCAGCTGCCGGGTGGGGAAAGGGGGGCTGGCTAGTAGGAGGAGCAACAAGGAAGCCCAGCTTTCCATCTCACTGGACTCCACAAGCCAGGATGGTTTGATTTTCAGTCTTGCCTGAATTGCAAAAACATAGATAACGGGGCATCTCTGAAAATAAGTGCATTGCTTCTCTGCTTCCATGGAGAACTTGGACAAATCCCAGGTGCTGTAGAAACTCTTTCACTTAGGAAAAAAAAAAGTGCCCAAAAGGATACAACAGCAAGTATGTTTAGGTGTGTTAAATAGATGACCATATTAATATTTTTGATTGGATCACTGAACACAACTATTTGCAGTCTATTTGAATGTTCACTTTGTATGCTTTGATGCTGTGACCCGAATCACCATTTCAAAGATGATAGTGTGTAATCTATTCACTGGTGATATCTTACTTCTTTTTTTCTTTTTGTAGTTCTGTATTACTTGTATCCTTACACTGTTTTGTTTTGTTCTGTTTTTTTCTCTTTTTCCTTTTAAATTAAAAAAAAAAAAAGAAAGAAACTCTCACACTGGAACTGCAGGAGATAGCTCCTGTACTAGGTGCAGTGCTGGCTGTAATCTGAAAGCAGCTGCTGTTTTCCCATTACGTATTGAATATTTTTTTTTAATCAGTACCAGGGATCGAACTCATGCAAGGCAGATGCTTATGCCGCTGAGCTAAATCCCCAGCCCCATCCCTTCAGGTATTGAGGACTCACCTTTTAGTTACTTTTTGAAAATTCAACAGGTGAGGGAGTAATGAAATGACCTATAACGGTTACATGTTTCAACGTGCATGTTCATTGATGAATTAAATATATTTGCATAATACTTAAATGTCTCAGGTTGTAAATATTGAACAAGGGGGAAACCGAGTGGCTCTCCAGGTACTCCTAGCCCTGCTCTTGGAAGTGGCAGGGTGAAGCTAATGAGGAGAAAAACCCTAGCACTCGGAGAGGCACCCCTGAGCAACCCTGGCTTCCTCAGCGTCGCAGCTGTCTCTAGTTCTGCAAACGCTGTCGCCTTTGGGTGAGCTCTTTGCACATGCCACTAAACTAGTAATGGTTTCTGAAAGATACGAGGTATTCAAGCATTATAAATACTCACCTTTAGCAGATAGAATATTAGTTTTTTAGAAATTGAAAAATATGAAAAAAATTGAAAGTATGGTTTATTTTTTGAGACAGAGTCTCGCTATATAGTTCAATCTGGCTTCAAACTCACCACGTAGCCCAACCTAACCTTGAACTTGGAGGGATCCTCCTGTCTCAGGCTCCCAAGTACTGGGACAGCAGGGATGGACCACCACACGAGGTTGAAAAATTAAGTTTTGCATAGCAAAACTAGTTAAGATCAAAGTCCAAAGACACAGTGGAAAATTACCTGTAGCACAGAAACGGAGAATGTTGTCAATGTTACTTGTAAAGCTCCTAAAAATACAGAGATCAGGGTCTCGAAAAGGAACGCCCCACGGGACTAATGGACCTTAGACTCCCTAGCATGTCTCGTAAGTGCATTGTACTATAAAAACCAGTGGAGGCTGTCCTTCAGTCCTGGGCAAAAATCTGTAGGCACTGTCTGACGACCCTGTTTACAGTAGTACTGGGCCACCCCAAGGATTCTGGGTACTGTGGTCCCGGCGAGGCGGGGGAGGGGGGAGACATAATGCTAAAGGTTCTGGGTATTGTAGTGTTCTGGGGGTATGCTGCGGATTCAGGATATTGTATTCCATTTGGGGAGACTGCAAATAGGGCCAGCGTTTTGCGTGCCCTGTCCTGGGTCTTGTCTCACTTAGCAATCTGGATTCATTAGTTCGTGAGGGAGCCTGCCGAGGACTGAAGTTGACTTTCTCCTTAAGGGGGTCCGCCCAATGTATAGTCAGGCTGAGCTTCTGGGAATTGCAGTTCTTTGGCCCTGGGGCCTCTTCTGTGTGGCACCGCTTGGTGCTAAGCCAGGACTGCTGGATCGCTGTGTCCGAAGG